AGTTTTTATTTATCTAAAGCCAAGAAAAGATTTACTGGTTTACTTATGTCTCTATATCTTTCTACCTCTAGTTTAGAGGCAGCTTATATACCATCAAACAAAGCATTTTGCTATGATAGCTTATTTCAGTTTGACAAATGGAAATTGTCAGCATAGCTGAATCTCTGCTAGGGATTTTGCTGGTATAAAAATGTCACAAATGTCAGTAGATACTGTAATATTGGAAAAATGTCTCAGGTGTAGACCTAGCCTAGTACAATTATAAATTCTGATTTAGTTATTCTGAAAATATTTGTTCTCATATGCATAGGGAAGAATTCTTTCACCTAGTGGCCAATGAAAGTGAAGTTTGGGACCCAATTATGACTGATGTGTGAGAGAAATTCTAATATCCTCTCTGGCTGCATAAGTGCACCCATTATAGGAACAGGAATACCTTCCAGAGATGTGCAGACAGTCTCCCTATTCCTATAACTGGTTCACGCAAATGTTCAGAGGAAGTAATAGGTAGTAATCATTCCTACACTTTAGTTGTGAAACTCAAAACTAACCAACTCCGAGTTAGTTGCAAGCTGCACTTTGGTCATCTACGAGGTGAAATATAGCAAACCATGGACAGAATTCTAAGACTTAGCAATCGACCCAATCAAAGCAAAACAAAATAAACATGGAAACAATAGCTATATGTTAATGGCATGAAAAATAATTGCAGCTCCATAGTAACTTGTATCACAATCACACAATTGTATTCTATATAGTGTAACATATACTAAATACTTCTTAGCCAATAATTCAGTTTCAAAATATATCAACCTAGAAAGATCTAGATACCTAGTTGTTTTTAATTCACCAAGCAAATATCTGCTTGACACAATTGGTTACAACATAGTTGCCAGTTATAAAAGCTACAAAATGAATATATTTATAAGAGCAGAATTTTCAATGTAAAGATATAAGAAGTAAAGAACACTGGCTATTTCTGCTTCCCTAGGTTTAACGTTAATCACACTTAAAGACAGTCTCTTAATGGATTTTAAAATACACTAATTTTTGTGGTATGGTTAATGGGGCATCCTGCTTTTCTATAGATTGTTTCTGCAAATATTTTTAGGCATTGTTTACAAGAAACCTTTTTCTTGGGATGGTAAGAGGGTATGAATAACTAAGTTCAAATAAAAGCTGTTTACAAAAGAAAGTAAAAATCTAGAAATGGTGACAGAATCTGGCTATAAAACATGGCCAGAATCTGACATTCAGTTAGAGGGAAGATTAGTGAACACTTTCATTATTAATGGAAGTATCTGACCAAACAGGCACTGTATTTTAAAGCTTAAAATAAAGAGGTAGGAAACAGTAATTAGGACACTGTCCTGATAGTGTTCCTAAATCCTCTTTCTTTTAGTGTATTTTTTGCCTCTACATAGTCTTACCTCTCCATGGGCAGATTGGTAGGCTTCCTGCCTCTCCTGCCAAGAGAATTTTCAGCATCGCTTTAAATTCCAGGGCTTCAATAAAATGCAGTTCATTACTTTGAAATAACTGAAATGCTTTGTGTAAATACCATGGCCTAGATGGTATAATTTCCCTATCGTAGGAAAATCTATGAAAGAGGCAAAAATCATCTTAAAGATAGCTCCAAAGGTATAGCAGCGTCGTTCTGTGCCTGGGGCAACTGATGCAGAGGGCAGTGCCAGCTGCCACTGTGCTGATTTCTACAGTGCAATCAACTTTTCCCCCACAACAAAGAAGGTGCCTGGGGCTGCTGCCCTAGTCACTACCTCTCATTCATGCCTACTGGGTAGTTCCTACCTAATTATTCAATTCGAGAAGTGGGTTATGGTATTCCATCACCCATCCAGACCACATCCACAAATTTTCTCACAGGATAATCTTTTCTGGCTCTGACCCTCAGTGATCTACTACTGGGCCCATGGCATTATATTTATAAAGGAGCTGTGCTTCCTAGGACTTGCCTCAGTCACTGCTTTTTTCAGGATCTGGCAAGTGGATCCTGTGGACTATGCAGGAAAGGAGCCAAGCTCAGGTTGTTTTTCCTCTTCCAGGGAATCTCTGGAAACTCCAAAAGTGGATGAATGGATCCTACAATTTCTGTAGATGTGGATGAGGGAGGGAGGGAAATTTTATAGCTATCTCGCTCATACTATCCAAAAGTAGATTGTCCTTATCCACTACAAGCCTTTCCCCCATTGCTATTAAAGTCATTCTATATTCCTGTCTGTCATAATGCAACAAAGTACTTAAACATATCAATGTAAGCCCAGCACAGAATATTTGTTTAAAACAGCATTTGAGGAATTTTGCCCAGGGGAAGTAATAAATGAGGTAGACCAGAGTACAACCTTTATACGAGACCAGAATTGTATCTAAGCCAGGAGATCAGACTCACATTCTGTTTTCTGCATTACATTCCTTAATACTCAGCAGTTTACAGGTTGTTAATTCTATATGGCATTTACCAATCCAAAGAAATAAAAGTAGGCTTGGGGTAAACTACTGTAACTGATACAACACCAGGAATTGCCCAGATCCACAAACATTTAGTGAGTATAGACTGATGCTGGTCCCATAGCATTACTTAAAGCTGCTTAATAGCTTAAATTGATATAAGTCCTTAAAACAACTTAAGAGCTTAAACCACTTAAAATGCCAGAAGCAGTTTAAGAGATTGAAGAATTTTATTGGGGTAGATGAAGGATGCCTTGTGAGCAGGTAGCTCCTTGAGGGATCTACCAAGGGTCTGGTCTGTGCATGTGTGTGGAAGGGGTGTCACAGATAAGATCAATAGAACCCAAATGTGAGGAAGTGGAAGTGATGTGATATAAGAAAGATATGACCATAAACAGGTATTCTGTTTATAGCATAAACTGATTGAAATCAACATAGCCCCATTTTAATCATTGCAACCACAGAATACAACAGCTAATATGAAAGCGCTTTTCCTTAAAAAAATAAATGTGCAATAGAACTGGAAGGGAAAATAGTGAATATCATTTTTTTAAAAAATTTGTTGGATACTGAAAGTCGTATAGTTGTGCTATTATCATGTTCTATAAAAACATTTTTCCTGCTTGTCTGACCGTTAGCAGCACACTGAATAGGTATTAATAAAAAAAAGGAAATTTTTATTTTGAATGTTCTGGCTGAAAATAGTGGATTGGCACCATGTGGAGGTCATTTATTCATTTTGTAGAGGTTGGCACTGAAATAATTTAGAGCAGTTCTGTATTTAGTCTTAGCTGGATATTCTTTGTGAGGTTTCCCATTCTTCAGAGTATGTTTTTAGTTATATTATAAGAAAAACTTCCACCCTTCATTTAAACCTAATTACAAAAGAACTACAACCCTTATGGCAGTTAAAGCAAAAAACAAAACAAAACAAAAAAAAGAAGACCTTCTCTGCAATTAGATATAATTAATGAGAAATAGTTAGAAAGAGTTATTTACTGAATTTATGAATGTTTTAATTTGTACTATATTAAAATTTGCATTGCTTGTGCACTAGTTCTTTTGTGTGAATTGTGGGAACATGGTTCTACTTTAAATATGAGAACTTTGCTTCCATTATTTAAGCATTTTAAAATATTGTTTTAATTTGTAGCATCTTTGGTATAAGTAGCAGATCTCCTTCAATATAGGAAAGAGGCAGTAGAGCTTTTTCCATCAGGGCCCTCAGCTGTGGATCAACACTTGCAACTTGGTCAAAAATAGCCTGGAATTACTGATCTTCAAAGGGTGTTTGCTAAGGTTTTTTTGTTGTTATTTGCTTTTTGTTCTGTTTTATTCTTATATTATATAATTCACATGAACAAAGGAACTTACAATGTTAGTTGAATGGACATGCAAGTGAATATACATATAAAAGACCTCATTTTAATTGTACTAAAAGATGCTTTACATCTCTCTAGGAATGCAAAAAATGGTCTTAAACTATTGATACATTCCAGTCATGCAGAATATAATTTAAGGATAAAAACATACATTGGATTTCTCCTGGGACAAAGCCTCTTATCCTGGGATTTTAAAAACCTACAAGCCCATTGTCTGAGGTTCAGTACCTGTGGAGATTCAGAGATAATGTTTTTTCCTGAGGAGGATCATCACTAATTTGAGTTAATTGCCATTCATTCCAGAGACAAATTGCATGCTGCTCCCAGGTTTTGACTCAGGTCAATCAAAACTAACTCAAATGTAGTGTCTATTTTTATTCTGAGTGCTCCATAGAGCTGAACTCACTTTAGTGCCCATTTGTGTAGCCAGAATGGTATAAGGAATGCATGAAACTAAGCTCTGTGTGTATATGAACATTATGTATTTCACAGGGGGGGGAAGATTACTAGAATAAAATAAAAAATAGAGCACATTCTATTTATTTAAAACCAATTTTTTGATTTGGAAGTAAATGTCATACTAGTAAATCCAGAGTAATTCCAATACAGTCCATAAAGCATCTCATATTTACTCACATGTAAATGAGACCTGAATTGGTAGCATTGTTTTGTTTCTTCTTGCTTCAATCACATTTTATGGCACTTGATTCTTGAGAGATGTAGTTAGCTGTGTTAGTCTGAAGTCAAGTAGAAGGCAGGGTAGATATGTACCTTATAGACTAACCAACGTATGTGGATATAGATATAGATAGAGATATAGCACAAGATTTCATGGGTTGAAGCTCACTTCATCAAATATTGCTTAAGCCCAGACACATAATTTTGATACATTGAGTGTTAAAATGATTGCTATCTTCTCCACACAAGCCTCTCACTGAATAAAGCCTTAGGTATAATTAAATCTTGTGATTTCAATGCAGCTGAACTACACTTTGGGTTTCCTTATGATGAAGTAAAGATATACGCAAATGAGACAAATTGACAGTGCTTTCTTTCGTTCTGAAGACAGCCATAGAAAAAGATAAGTTAACTAATGAAATGTCTGTATTGTACCACATAACACCTAACATTTCACTACTGCTTGAATTTCAGAACATTTCAAGATCTGTCCAAACAAATGGATATATCGTATGGTACAGTGAGGGACTCAGCTGTGTATGAATACTTTAAGGCAAAAGGGACAAACCCTTTGGAGCAAGATAATACATTTGCTGAATTGTGGAGAACAATCAGTAAGAATAATGGGGCAGATAATTGTGTATTGAACCCTTCTGAAGGCATCAGGAAGGTAAGAATGGATTAATAATAAAGATGTTATTTCTCTCTTTCTTCCTCCCTCTCTCTCTTCCTTCCTTTAATGAATCTATATTGTTTAAATAGGGTTAATAAATACTATCATTCCATCTTTGACCAACTATCTCATGGAACTCAGATCATCAGTTAAGAAAGATTGCAGTAACTACTACAACTTCTAACCCATTTGTTTTTGTCTTTCCCAGAGTCAGTTTTAAGACTGTTAGGATTTTTCTAACTATCTAAATGTCATTTTTTAAAGTAACTTTAGAATCTGTCCATTGACTTCAATGTGATTTAGACTGATAAACGCCTTAGGGCCTTGTCACACCTTACGCTGTAAGCCAAACCAAGGCTTAGTGTTGTTTGGTTTAGAGGAGCAGTCATACCTTAAGGTGAAAAAACAACTTTGACTGTCCTTCACTTGCACAGCTGTGATTTGCCACTAGAGGCTTGGTGAGCGGGGGCAGGACTAGGAGCTAGGCTCACTGCTCCTGCCAATCAGAGTGAGTGTTGCAGCCCCAGAGTGCGCCGGTGACTGTGTTGCCTCCTGCAGCTGCCCAAACCGGCTTGGTGCTTGAACTCTGTGGAGCCTGGATCTTGTTTTCTCTGGAGCCTACTGCCCCTACCCAAGCCACTGGCTAGCTGGCTGTTGCCTGAGATCCAAAAAGAATCAGGCCTCTCAGAGCTCTGGTGATGCCCAGCCTCTCAGAGCTCTGACAGTGCCCAGCCACATAGGCCATATGTAGCAGGAGGGCACAAGGGGGCACATACCCCCCTGAGATTGGCCACCACTGAAGCCATCACTGGTTTCTGCGGGTGGCCACCAGTGGCTGCGGGTGGTCCCCACTCACTGCTGCCAACAGGGTGGATGGCTGCTACAGGTGGTCCCTGGTTGCTGCACACCACTCACCACGTCCCCCTCCCTTTGCTGCTGACACTGCTGCAGCCACCTGTGCATGGTCCCTGCTCAGCCCGCCTTTGCCACCGATGTCACCGTGGCTGCCTGCAGGTGGTCCCCACTCACTGCCACCATGCCCCTGCCACCACACCTGTTGCTGCCGCTGTCTGTAGATGGTTGCTATGTCCCCCCAGCCTCCAGAAGCATGCATCATTCATGACCAGCCATCCAGCAGTCCAGCTAGTAGTGGCACAGTGTGGCAAGCTCTGGGAAAAAAAAAAGGATTGGGCCCCCAGGACCCAGACATATGCCCTGGGAGGGCCAGGCAACTGGAGCAGGGTGGAGCTCAGAAGCTGCAGCATGGCAGCCTGAGACA